TGTGTGTGCATTCTTAACTTCATCAACTAGTGAATAGATAAACAGAAATTTATATAAATTGACACCTAGTGTGAGATGATTAGACGTCGACAGGCAGACACACAGACGGAGGCTGGTTTAAATATCTCTGAGCCAGTTGCGATAGAAGCTCACTGGGAACGCTATAAGATACTAACACAATAACACACGCACGCACGCACGCAATATATATATATATATATATATATATATATATATATATATATATATATATATATATATCAGGAGAGAGAGGGGAGAAATGGAGTAAAGAGAAAGACGGGAAAGAGATGTGAACGAAGATAAGAATAAATACGATCAAAATACGAGCAAGATATGAATAGACTGAAATGGATACATAGATGTGAATAAATATATAATGATTCCCAGTAGCGTATATGCACACAGAGATAGAGATAGATTCATATATATATATATATATATATATATATATATATATATATATATATATATATATATATATATATATATATATATGTGTGTGTGTGTGTGTATATATATATATATATATATATATATGTGTGTGTGTGTGTGTATATATGTATATATATATATATATATATAAGTAAATGAATGACGAAGTGAAAATACTGTGGAACATGTTACGTCCTCTAGACTAAAGTAACGCAAAATTTTTTTATAGTTTTGTCATTCATTTGTCTAACATTGTTCTGCTATATAGAAGTTTATATATCGTATTCACCCATATATATATATATAATTTTTTCATTTAGCTGATTCATGTCATATACAGCAACTCGACTCTGTTTTGTAGATTCATTTTTCAATCCCCTCTTCAGGAGGTTTCGGCAATTAACTGCCGTTTTTATCATTTTGAGATTTCTTTGTAGTGCTTTATATATATATATATATATATATATATATATATATATATATTATATTATATTATATTAATGTCTATACTCTACTGGTGTATATAGATATACAAATGGATAGTTAAGAAAATTCGTAATTCTTTGCTGAATTTAATTCTGAAATATTTATATTTATATGGATGTTGTTTCGTCTATATAAATTATATTCATATATCATTATATTCAATGCACTTAAGGAATTAAGTGCATTGTCAGAGAAGGAGATAATTTTGAAGCAAAAATATTTATGTGTAGAAAATATATCATCTATGTAATGTAGACTTATTAAAATTACTTACCTATATACATATACACATATATAGTGATTTACTAAGCGTTGCTCAACTGTGACACAAAGTATGAGGCACATATACATATACAGACATATAGTTAAAACTTGCTATATTGGGAGTAGATGTGTTCTAAGTATCGGAGAGAGATGATTTATATAGAGAGAATGTAGCTAAAGGAATCAGCACTACATATAGACAATACTAATTAAATACACAGACACACACACATACTATATATATATATATATATATATATATATATATATATATATATATATATATATATATACATATATATATATATATATATATATATATATATATATATATATATATATATACATATATATATATATATATATATATATATATATATATATATATATATATATATATATATATATATATATATATATATATATATATATATATATATATATATGTGCGTGTATGTATATATATATATATATATATTGACAGGAAGGGTTTTATATATATATATATATATATATGTGTGTGTGTATGTAGGTATATTCAAAGTAAAATAAACGAGTGGCCTGTAAATATGTATATATGGGTAAAATAGCAGGACAGACTGGGTTCTATAGCCTTGGATGGCAACTGGTCTAGGAGAAGGACAACTCTGAATTCAAAACCTGCGGAGGGTCGTTTGGGGACCTTTTGGCACGTAGGGCACTAGGTCTCTGTATTCGGCCCTTCAAAAAGTGTGGCTAGTCCTGCACGAAAACTATAATCAAATCTCATGTGCCGGTGTCGGGCTGTCAGTTTCCTGCAAACTGATCTGCTTGACCCTCATACGTCGAACGCGACGGGAGAATCGATTTTATATATATATATATATATATATATATATATATAATTTTACTTATGGAGATATAATTTTAATTGTGTATATATTTGTGTATATATATGTATATATATATATGTATATATATACATATTTTTGATCATTATTGACAATAAATTATATATATATATATATATATAATTTTACTTACAGAGATAATTTTAATTGTGTATATATATGTATATATATATATATATATATATATATATATATTTTTGATCAGTTTGTTGAAAATAAATTATATATATATATATATATATATATATATATATATATATATATATACGTGTGTGTGTGTGGAGTATATTCAAATTAAATGAATTTTAATTTGACTTCTAAGCTACTAGGTTAAATTTAATATTCGCAATGAATAAAATACTTTTGTGTATTTCAAAACGTATCCAAATTGTTTGTAATTTTTTTTCCTGATCAGCAAAATAAGTAAAAATTCGTCTCACTCATTTTCTTTATTAAAAAATAAAATGTACTTTTCTGACACATTATTTGAAAAAAAAAATTGCTGATTTAAAGTTTAAATGATCTGAATTGAAAAAAAAAACGAAAGTGGTGTTCTTTGATGTGTTGAGGGATTTATTAATAGCCTGATTTTCGGAAAAATTAAATTTGTGTCATATAATTAAAAAGAATACTTGGCAAAAAATAAATAAATTTTTTAAAATACATGGTGTCGTTGTATTGTAGTGGCCTTTTTCATTTATATATATATATTATTGAGATTACATACATACATACAGACATACAGACATATACACATATGTAAGCAAATATATGGATATAGATCCGACAGTATGAAGAAAAATATACGGAAAAAACAAACAAAATCCTAATATGCAATTATGCTGTTTTAATGTTAATATAATGTCAACGTCAGACATTTCGTCCATCGTTTTTCTTCATGTTGAATTAAATTCATAAAACAATCTTAATTATGTTTTATTTATATTCATAAAATGGTCATAATTAATGTCCATCGTTTTTCATTATTTAATTCAAAACAGATATTTGTATATTAGATTTTATTTTTTCCATCGTTTTTCTTCATATACACATATATAGTGATTTACTAATCGTAGCACAACTGTGACACAAGGTCGAAGGTAAAGTCCGTTTTATTTTATTAACAATATAACTCGATCGCTACAAATTAATATAAAATTTAAATTTTAAATTTTCTAATTAAAAATTAAAAAGAAAGAAAACAGTTCTTGTAAAAATTCAATATCCCCCCCCAAAAAAAAAATTTAAGACCACAGTGCCTATAATATATATATATATTTTTTTTTGTATAAAAACCATTAAAAATTTTTCTAATTCAGTGTCTTTTTTGAATTTACGATTCAAAGCGGGTATTCTGTAACTTGGGGTTCTGTTTGGCCAAAAGATTTCGATTATTATAATTGGGGGAGGTTAACAGATATAAAAAAATTACTACAATTTTCTAAAGAAAGAGACGATTAAAAAAAATTGCATTCATTTCTAAATTGTTTGAATTTTGCAAGAATTACCAAGAATTACCAAATCATTGTGATTTTCAACGCAAAACGATGCTAAAATTTCCCATACAAATTTATGGTACCGCGTTGGCGTCAGAAAACAAAATTTTCAACCAAAATTTCCAGGATAAAAACAAATTTTACATCCTAAGATCCTTTGGATTAGACGATAATTAATTTATTATGATTTGGGTATTTTTCTTTCATTTTAGCGAATTTTTGGAGGTACGTACATGAGTGTGTCTGCTCGTGTTAGGATGAGGAATAAATGCTTAATGCCTTCGTATACAAATACATGCAGAAATGTCAATGTTTCGTTCACTTGACCCCGCTTTACCGTCTCGATACACTGACACGTTTGAACTCGACCTTTTCACTATCCATAAAAGAGACAAGAAATCAGACGGAGAGACACGCACAAGAGAGACGGTGAGATAAATAGGCATAGAAAAAGAGAGAAAGAGAAGTGAAATAGAGAGAATGGCATCGGAAAGTTACAATTTAGGGAGAGCCGAAAAGAGTTATGCCAGCAACTTGAATAAAACGGAAAATACTTTTGTTGTCTTTGAAAAAAAAAAAAAAAAAAAACTGAAAGAAAAGAATGAAAAAAGAAAGAAAGGAAATGAAGTTTTACAAAATATAAAACAACGTATAATTTTAAAAATTGAAACAGATAGACATTATTCCACGTCCCAAAATTTCTAACGAAGCTAAACATATAACAAAATATGTAAAATTTTAAAAGGTTTTCTTAATTGTTCCTTATTCAATCAAAGACAAAAAAAAGAGATAGAAAATGAACAAACTGAGATAGATAGATAATGAACAGGCACAGATAGATAGATAGATAGATAGATAGATAGATAGATAGATAGATAGATGAACAAACTGAGATAGATAGATAGATAGATAGATGAACAAACTGAGATAGATAGATAGATAGATAGATAGATAGATAGATAGATAGATAGATAGATAGATAGATGAACAAACTGAGATAGATAGATAGATAGATAGATAGATAGATAGATAGATAGATGAACAAACTGAGATAGATAGATAGATAGATAGATAGATAGATAGATAGATAGATAGATAGATGAACAAACTGAGATAGATAGATAGATAGATAGATTGATAGATAGATAGATATATAGATAGATAGATGAACAGACTGAGATAGATAGATAGATAGATAGATAAATAGATAGATAGATGAAGGGTGCCCATAAAAACAGGAAATTTGGTGCAGTTTTTTTAATTGTTGGAATTTTTGTTACAGTTATTTCAAACAAATGCAAAGGACAGACATTTAGTAGTTTAAAACAAAAACACAAATATTTAATGTGGTGTTCAAACTAAAACCGTTATTTTTTATATGTTAGTTAATTTTTTTCATCGTATAGAAAATCTAAAATTTCATGTCTTTTGTTGGGCACTCCGTAAATAGATAGATAGATAGATAGATAGATAGATAGAAACAAGAGAGATAGTCAAACAGACATAGAAATAAAGTTGCTTTTAACTACAATTGAATATATTTCCTTAAGAGTACACCCCAAGCTAGTAATGGTATTATCTATGTCATACAGACTCCTTAGAATATTGGGATAGAGTTCAAATCTCATCAGAGACTACTTCTTACTTTTCAATCTAGTCTACGTATTTAATGGTCATAGAATGTAAAATGAGTTGAAAATATAGAGAAAATCCTACAGAATGCTAAATAAGGAACATCTTGGAAATCCTTACACATTTGACATGTTTCACTAATTATTTAGCTTCATCAGAAATTTTTAAAGTGGAATAATATATTTCAGTTTTTAAATTCTATGTTGTTTTGTTCCCATTGGTTGTGTAGATGCTGGATGTATGTTGGCGCTGGTGTTTATTTTTATATCACCCAATGAAAACAAAAACAGAAAACTTAAAAACTGATACAGACATAAACACTAACGCCAATATACATGCGACATCTACACAACCAATGAAAACAACACAACATAGAATTTAAAATCTGAATTATATCTGTATATCATTCAAATTTCTGATGAAGCTAAATAAAAGGTTTCCCTAGTTGTTTCTTATTTAATCACATACAAACAGATAGATAGATAGATAGATAGATAGATAGATAGATATGGACAGACTGAGATAGATGGGACAAAAGAGACAAACAAGAGAGAAAGTAAGATAGACAGACATAGAGAAAGACAGAGAGAGTGATAACTGAAAACCTTAACTCAGTGAAGACAGTCGCAAATATCTATGAAAGAAAATTGATTCAAGCAAAAAATACTTTTGTTGACGAAAAAGAAATGACATTTGCTTTACGGCGCGTGAAAGATAAAATTGTATATTTGTAGCTTAATCTCACAACAATGGCTGCCGAATAAAGCAATATGGCGAATTACGACTGACATACATTACGCAACCTGTCTGGCATACATAAGATTCCATTTTGTGTGTTTGTTCGTATTTTTGTAATGAGATATTATTACTATAAGCTGGCCAAAAATGTTTCAGTGTTCATTTTTTTCTTTCAGCTTAAAGAAAAGAAGGTATACTTCTCAAAAGGTAATTATTCCATATGGTATGGCCGATTTAGAGTAACTATAAGTTATATCCGGAAAAAAAATGTTACCATGATATGTTTTATATCATTGGAAGCGGAATTTTATATCCTGCAAAAAATAAAAACTCCTTGGGAAATTTTTTCACGGCTGTTTATCTTGGTACCATTTTCTTTGCAAAAAAACAAGTGAAACATTGTTTTTAACCACTTGACTAGTTTACACATTTAAGTAGTTTTCATGCATAGTTTATTTCGGATGTGTCTTACGAGTTATTTGAACATTATGATGTCAATTTCTAATGTTTAGTTGTTGTAATTATGTTTTCCGATTGTGCAATATAATCTGTAACTGCTTCATATTCTTATAGATTGCATAACATCAGCCAATCGATAACATTCAAGAGACAGAGACTCATCTGAACGTGGGCATTATCTGGACTGTTCTGTGTCAGTGAAGTGAACAACCAACAAGCGTTAGTGTTTGAATTGAAGATTTAAAATTCTATAATTTTCTGTTTTTTGTACCAAATATCACATTTTTGGCAGACATGAAAAGATACGAAAAGATATACACATTTTTTTTAATAGGCATCGCCATTGTCAGAGTAAGCCATCAGTTTGCTTAGCAAAACAGGAGTTTCAGACCTCACGTTGCTTAGTCGGTTGCTTGATGTAATGAGTTATTTCTATGTATTTGTTTTCTTCATTCTCTTATCATATCTTGCTTGTAGCACCCTAAATCGTCAAGTCTTCTTCGAATAGGTCCTATGTTTTTACTCACCAGACTGCCAGATAGGAAGAGGTCAACATGAAGATAAAATTATGTTGCCAATTTGTCTCTATTAACAACAATTATAACCAGGTAAAATTTCATGTTCTCAGCATCAGTGATTCTTGAGATATAAAACTTCCTTATTTTGCAGTCTGGTCTACAAAATATACAGATATCACGTGACCATCTTCAAAGCTCCATACAGTGCGAGCAAGGTCTGAGAGCAACATATGGGTTATCGTAAGTATTCTAAATTATTTGTCCGATTGTCACCTCTATCTTTCTATGTGTTATGGTCCGGTTCCCAAGGTAGAACCAATAAAGAAGAACTCGAACACGTATATGGAATAACATAGATATATTACAAACAGGAATATATACAGAGAAGTAGACATGTTAGTATGAACAATCAGGTTTAGTAGAGAGAACAATGTAGTCTTGACCAGTATCACTATTCCAATGTCTTGCAGTAATTGTCTGAACGCGACTCTGTTTCGGAAAGCCTCTGACTCGACTCTTGATTCCACTTGAACTACTGACTCAGGTGCAGTATTTATTAAGTATGGAATAGTCCATTGTTATTATTATGGGTAAGATCCCATAACACTATGTATCTCTGCAGACTGTTTTAATTTTCAAGTCAACTTGGTTTGTAAACTGTAGCTGTTTGGTCAGTATTTCACTCTCTAAGAGGCATAGAGAGTTGGTAGTTCTTTGTTTTGTGTTACTTTTTATCTTATCTTCCGTTGTATTGCTATATACACGAGTACTGATATAAGCCAGATGTTAATAGTGAAGTACGGCTACGTTTTACTCCAAATTTAAACTAAGTTACCTCCATTACATATTCTTAACGTAAATTGAGGAGGCACGGTAGATAGCGGAATTCCAGTCTAATCCATTACATTCACTTACGTACTAATACCCTTGGGGAAGGTATGAATCCTCCTCTTCTTTTCCCCACCAGCTATGGGTAAATAGGAAGACAGACCTTGGATGGCAACTGGTCTACCACAGAAAGAAATGGCAAACTACTGCGGGAAAATATCTGTCTCATCAGTCATGTATCGAAAGATATATGATCGCCCAAGCGCGTATCGCGCAAGGTACATAACTGACTGAAATTGATTGTAAAGGAGCGCGTTCATGCGCATTTACCAAAAAATTCCCCACTACTTATTACAATAATTTTTGTCTTAGCAATTCACCGCTGAAGTTAATGCGGGATAAGTATTTGGGAAAATAGAAGAAATAACCAAAACCACGGCGTATTTCTTATTCAGTTTTGTAACAGCACTAAGAAAATGTTCCGTGAATTTGAGAGGATTGAAATAAAAAAATAAATCGGCATAATATGTCTAGATTATTCAACAAAACATGATTGAGTGGAGATATGCTGCATATTGACTGCCAATTTTCTCATTTTTTTGTTATTTTTATACTAAGTTTGTAATTAATTCATGCGCCAGTTCGGATGCTCTTATTATTAGTGTCAGGTTGATTTTTTATTTGTCTGTATGCACGTATGGATGCATATGTATGCCTTTTCCTTCTTTTTCTCTTTCGGCTCTGAGTATCAAAAATAATGTAACAATGTAATTTTCGATATCACAGACAAAACCATGTTTATTTTTTAGTTTTTTAGGGCAATTCCTTTTCTCGAATGTTCTGTGATTTTCTTAAGTCAAGGTTATTTTGTGAAATTTTACTGGTAATGCTGTATAGGGGTGTCCTTTATATAATTTCCCATTTGATTTTGGTGGGAATATTGTTTTCCTTTTGGGTCCAGATCTATTTTGATAGGGTTATGACATATGGCATATTTTTTGTCAGAAGACATTTTGTTGCTATAATGTTTTTATTTTAGATGTTTGTATTCTGTAGCACCTATATAAAATATTACGTCCGTATTAGTTACGGTAGCTTTGTATATTATGTTATTGGTTAAGTACTTATTAAGTGGGCGATTTTCTTTCTTTCTACAATTACATTTGATGGTATTACTTCGCTGATGGTTATTTTTATTATGATTGTTATTGTTGTTGATATTGTTATTGAGTTTGTTGAGTATGTTTTTATTGCCATTAGTTATTATTGTTCCATAATACCAACACAAACACACATACACACAGGTATATATATATATATATATATATATATATATATATATATATATTTTTGTTTTGTTTTACAGCATATCAACATCAATGGGTTATTTAATGCCGATAAGTTTTTCTTTCCTTGTAATATTTTGTTTTGTCAAAAATCTATTTCTGGTAATATTTTCTTCCTCGAAAATGTATTGTATAGCTAGTAATATTATTTTAAAAAATGTATTGCTGGTAATATTTTTATGTAGTTTATCGTTATACCCAGGACGGATATATATATATATATATATATATATATATATATATATATATTTTTAAAAGAATTGATCTTGTTTTTAATCCGAGATATTTTTATTACTTCAAGAGTTATTTTTAGTGGATACCCGTATCTGGGTAGATACTCCGTTTTTAAACAGTGTTTATTTCGTCTACCAGCTTACACACTCTAAAAACTTAACGAAGATAATATATATATATATATATATATATATATATATATATATATATATATATATATATATATATGGCAATTTTTTTCAGTCCGTTAATATTTTTTCAAGAAAAAGTTATTTTTCAAAGAATACGTGTTTTAGTAGACATCCTTGTTTATTTACTATTGAATTAACATCAAACACTCAAGATAATCAAAGTCATTATATTTGTCTACATCTTCTTAAGGAAGAATTTCGTTGATCTAGACCGGTAGACGTTAATTTTACTATTTGCAAATCAACGAGGATATCTACTCAGACGCGTGCACTCAGCAAAAACATTTTTAGCGTGTCGTCAAATGACACTGAAACAGCGGTTCTCGTTTGATCACCGAAGTTAAGTAGTGTCGGTCCCCCATCAGGAGGACCACTTGGAAACACCGGATACTGAAAGCGTAAAACCGGCTACAAAGCCCTTTGGGCATGGGGCTAGTAGTAACTTCATACTTGCTATAGAAACAGTAACAGCAACGCCTAGTGTTTTGTTGAATTCTGTGGTCCGGTACTCCTCAGTGAAGTCTACGGGACTGGACTAAAGGAGGAGGAAGGTATATATATATATATATATATATATATATATATATATATATATATATATATATATATATATATATATATATATATATAAAGAAACAAATCAATAACTTGAAGAAGAAATATGAATGTGTGCTATTATTATTATTAAACATCTTTTGGTCGACAAACAATTATTTCGTCTTCAAGTTTTTGATTTTATAAGGAAAAATATATGCCTGATGATGAATAAAGGATTATTCGAAAGTACTTGCATTTTAAAAAAATATAAACTGGAAACAACAGATAACAGTTTTATAAATGAGGATCACGTCACTCTATGGATTAACAGTATTTTAATGCATACATTATACACTACTAGCGATGGATGTCGCCAATAATAGCATTAATATTGCTGATTGATTCTATGTGTGATTATTTCTTTGCATATAAACTATATGCTACCTAATGTTTTATTAGGTTGGTGCAAAAATAATTACGTAATAATGTCGTTTTTTGACGTTAAAAATACGTCAAAAAACGACATTATTACGTCATTATTTTTGCACCAACATATATATATATATATATATATATATATATATATATATATGATAAATAAAAAATATCTGGAAAAACAAAACAAAACTCCTTAAAATGCGATTATGTTGTTTTTAATATGAATGAAATGTCGACGTCTGACGTTTCGGTTTAATAACCTTCTTCAGGACAATATTCATTAAAAATGCAATTAACATAATCAGTATAACACGACGAAAACGATGGACATAAAAACAAATCTTATCCAAAACAGATAAATGAAAATTTTAAATGATCAGCTTCATTCATTCATATTAAAACAACATAATCGCATTTTTAAGGATTTTGTTTTGTTTTTCCAGATATTTTCTTCATTCTGTCGGATTTATATCCATTTATATTTGCTTATCATATATATATATATATATATATATATATATATATATATATATATATATATATGAAATCTATTTTTTCGTGTTTTTTTTAATGACTCTACCAATTTTCAAAGTTGAACAACTTCCGAAGAATACTTTTACAAACAGCTGAAATTAAATGCCTGTCTGAGTCAAGGTATGACTCCTTGCTGCTGGTATATCTTCATTGCCAGTCGTTCTATTTGTCCGTTTTGTCTGTCCCGATTTCTATTCCCCACCCACCCCGCTCAATTTCTCAGCTATCATTCTTTTGTCCGTTCTACCAATTTTCATTCTTTCTTTTCTTCTTTCTTTTTTTTCACTCGACTCTTGATCTAGCTCCATGGTCCGCAATATGGGCCGCACGCCTCGAGGAGCGCCGGTGCGCAATTTAATTTTTAAGAGGGGGCAATTTGAGAATGAGTTATTAACAGTGAATTTTTTTTCTAGTCAGTCTGTGTGAGTATGAGTGTGTGTGTGCGAATTAATACATACGGCGTATATAGAGTATGCATACATAAAACTATTTGTGTGCATGTATATACATGTGTCATTTAGGGCACCTCGAGGCAAGTAACGGTTAGTAAGCTTGTCTTGCTAGAACAATTGCGACAGAGTAGTGAGCTCGATCCTCACTGGGTGCCCCATATTTTAGGCCTTGTGCCACATCTAAGCTACGCTTGGAAAACCACTATAGGGGCACCTCAACGTAATGGCTACCAAGCCTGTCTCGCTAGAACCATAAAGACTGAGGAGTGAGCTCGATCCTCACTAGGTGCCACATATTTTCGGCCTTGTGCCATATCTAAGCGTCAGTCATTCACTTTTGAACCGACTGCTCGGTTGAACTCTCTTCCTACGAAGAGTCTCCTTCGGGGAGGTAAAACCGGCCCTGAACCCGTTTATACGGGTTCAATGGGCATATTTTTGACCGAGCCCACGGGCTCGGAATGCCCACGTTAAAAAGGCCTTGTGCCACATGACACCCTCGTTGGGGGGGGGGGCGACTCAATATCGTAGTGAGCTCGATCCTCACTAGGTGCCACATATTTTTGGCCTTGTGACATATCTAAGCTACGCTTGGAAAATCTCTCTACATTTATCATTATATATATATATATATATATAGATAGATAGATAGATAGATATGCTTTTATTAACAATTTCTTAGTAGTTTCTTCCTCAGTACTTCAAGTGTCCTTTTATTTTTCTCTTTCGTGGATGCCATATTATTTGGAAGCTTGTTTTGGCCGAGTCAATAGCCTTTTGGGCTTCCTCCACGTGAATGTTCACCTTTTGAATAATAAGAATTATATGCCACAGGGGAGGGGGTATCAGGATATTAGAGATGCTTAGGTGGGCCAAGGGCAAAAATAATAAAAAAAAAAAAACATTGGGAACCATTGGTTTAGGATGAATAATTCAACAAACATCCAAGGCGATCAAAACAATGTAACTTCGTCCAGCTTCTTTCACCAGCACCATTTTGTTTCTTGTTACTGTTTCTCTATTCACTGTTGTTCTGATATAGTTCTCTTCATCTGTTGTTTATTATTACTTTATTTTAAACTCTAGTGTATTCACCCTTTCTCGTCTTTTGAAAGCAGGAATTCTTGCTATTGTTATAAAAAATAAATCTTATTTACCTAAATATATAAAAAAGCATATCTTCTCCGGCGAGATAGTGGGGCTTAACGAAAAGCAGACTTACCAATCCGAGTTCGAATTTCATCTGAGACATTTCACATTATTCCACAAAATGATGCTCTCGACGTCGAGTTAATCCCACAGATCATTATTACTGTAGTAAGTTCGATTCTCATTGAATGTTCCACAATTGTAACCTGGTTTCATTCTAAGACCATGATTCACAACGTGGGCGGTTATGCTTTCTTGAGGGACTAGAAACGTTCAAGGGATCATTAAGCGTTCAGAGTTGTAATCGGGGTCGAATAACTTTAAGCAGGAAGTGAGTTGATTTAAACCCTTTAAGCTTCATTGTGACATTCTATATATCTTATATAAGCATTTACCTTTCGGACGACATATCTAGAATTTTTTTTAACTTATTTTAAACACAAATACTATTATAATATATGTGTGGTTAAAGAATGAATGAATCAATGAAAAAAGAATGAATGAAAAAAGAATGAAAGAGAGAATGAATGAATGAAAGAAAGAATTTAATGAATGAATGAAAAATGGAAAGAAAGAAAGAATAAATGAAAGAAAGAAAGAAAGGAAAAAGAATGAATGAAAGAAACAAAAAATTCATAAATGAAAAAAGGATAAATGTGTGAATGAAAGAAAGAAAGAATTAATGAAAAAATAAAGAAAGGAAAAAAGAAAAATGAAAGAAAAAGAATAAATGAAAGTAAGAAAAAGAATGAATGAAATAAAGAAAAAATGAAGGAAAGAACGAATAAATGAAAGAATGAATTAATGAAAGAAATAAACAATGTATTAAAGAAAGAATGAACGAATGAAAGAAAGAATGAAAGAAAGAATGAACGAATGAAAGAAAGAATGAAAGAAAGAATGAACGAATGAAAGAAAAGAAAAAGAATGAAAAGAAAGAAAAGAATGAAAGAATGAAAAGAAAGAAAAGAATGAAAAAAGAAAGAAAGAAAGAAAGAATGAAAGAAAGAAAGAAAGAAAGAATGAAAGAAAGAAAGAATGAATGAATGAATGAATGAATGAATAAAAGAAAGAAAGAATCAATGAAATAACAACGAAAGGAAAAAGAGTGAATGAAAGAAAAAGAATGAATGAAAGAAAAGAAAAGGCATAAATGAAAGAAAGAAAAAATCAATGAAAGAACGAATGAAAAAAAGAAAGAAAGAAAGAAGAAACCAAAAAAAAAGAACGCGATAAACAATAAGAAAAATGAAGAAGACAATAAAAATATTTTGATGAATGATAAAAGAACGAAAAAGAAGGACTGATGAAGAAAAATTCATTCAAATCAAATTATAAAAAATAAACGTCACACCGAATGCCTCCTGGTGAAATAACGGCTATCGAGTCTAACCTGTCTGTGTTAAGAGAATCTAATTTTACGAATGAAGCTTCTCCGAGTTCTGGGTCATTTACTACACACATTTGATGTGGGCAGATAACATTAGCATTTGAGGTCTTTCATTTGGGTATTCGTATTCGTTGGTTGCCCCCCACCCCCAAATTAAACTTGTCCTCCGGCTAAGTCAGTTGTTGCCGAAACCTGCTTCAGTGCAGTCCTTTTACTACCCTTCGCTGACCTGACATGTAAACTATACCACAAAACCCAGCATCTCTCGACTGAAGTTATTTTGAAGTGTTTTTATCGTTTTAGCCATCGACTAAATCACTAAAATTAAAATAAAATCTTTTTTATTTACTATAAGAACTTTGGTTTTCTGGTGTTTCCTTTTAAATGTGTTTATCTTCTTATTTCGTCTGTTGCACACGTGACACCTGGTTCGCCATTTTTCGACCCTCAGCGGCTATAACACAAAGAATTGAACATTAAATGACTCAATAATTGTTGACATGTCATAAAATCAACCAACATCGCTTAACCAATAATAAAATAGTGTAATAATAAGAAAATATTACTACTCATGAAGTGCGTATTGGTTCCGATTATTTTGATAAAAAGTTACAAAAATAAGATGGCGCCTTGAAGTAGGGTAATGGCAGTCTAGACTGTTTGTTGACCTTTTAATAGTGAGTTCGCTTCTCACATGCGACACCGTATTAAATTCAACATTAAATAAACCAACAAATGTTGACGTGTTGTAAAATCGATCAACATATTGTAAAATCGATCAACGTGCTGTAAAATCGATAAACAAAAAAGGCAGAGTTGCAACAAGACAAATAATAAGAGGATTAACATTTAATAAAAGAATAGAACGAAATAATAAAAGAGTTGACGAAATGACATTGAAAAGAACTGATTAGGAAAATTGTGCTTAGAACACGAGGTGGAGATGCTGATTGCTTTTGTAAGAGATGTAATGGCTGCAAAAGTTAACGATGCAACCATAAACTTATGACGTTATAGTCGAGTGTCTGTCTTTCGCAATTAAAAGGTCTTTAGCAGTTGGCTTTTGTTCTTTTTCTATTTATAAAGAAACAAAAAAAGAACAAAAGGCAAAAATAAAACAAAAAGAAAGCAAATGAAAAGAAAGGAAGAAACAAAATGGGAAGAAATAAATAAAATGGGAACAATTACAAAAAGAAAGAAAGAAATCAAGACAGAGAGAGAAAGAAAAAGAAAGAAAGTAAGAAAGAAAGTATGATAAAAGAAACAAATATGAAGAACACGGAAATAAAAGAAAAGCAAAAAGAACGTGAAAAGAAAAGAAGGAAAAAAAAATAGGAAGAAAGAGAGAAAGAAAGAAAATGACGTCATTATGAAAAGAAGGAAGAGACAGAAAAGGAAAAGAAAGATGAAAAGAAAGAAAATAGGAAGAAAGTAAGAATGAAAGACTACAAAGAAAAAGATAAAAAGAAAGAAAAGAAAACAAGCAAATAAGAAAGAAAAAAAGAAAGAAAGAAATATAGAAATAAAATGAAAAGAAAGAGGGAAAGGAAATGGTAAGAAAGCAAAAATTAAATGAAAATTCCAAAATGGAAAAAAGAAAGAAATAGGGCAGATGACAAAAAGAGAACTAGAAAGAAAGGAAGTAGGAAAACAGAGAAATAGAACAAAATGATAGAAAAAGAAAAGAAAAATCAAGTAAGCAAGAAAGAAACCAGACGGGAAGAAAACAAAAAGAAATTTTTAAAAATTGCAAACGTCAGAAAGCAATAAAAAAAAGAAAGAAACGTATAAAAAAGAATGGAAAAGAGCTTCTGAAAAAGAAAGAAAGAAAAACAGAACGAAAAATAAAAAAGAAAGAATATAAAAAAGAAGGAAAGAGCTAGAGAATGAAACGAAAGCAAAAAAGAACGAAAATAAAAAGGACGAAAATGGAAACAAAACACGAAAAAAAAAAGAAACGAAATCACGAAAGAAAGAAAAATATAAAAAACGAAAATGAAAAAAAAATGGAATAGCAGATGAAAAGAAAGAAAGAAAGAAAGAAAGAAAGAAAGAAAGAAAAGAAAGAAAGAAAAGAAAGAAAAGAAAGAAAGAAAAGAAAGAAAGAAAATCAAGTATGTTATGTCACCACAGGTTTACCACAAGTGTACTCTGAAAATTACAGCGAGAAATATTTGTATTTTTGCCAATATGCCGTTGTAACCGAAAGAATTGCCTGCTGGATGTGTAAAGGGAGAGGATCTTTTCAAAATGTCACCCCGGGGAATAACTTCCTTTTCCACGCGCCCTGACCCCCGACCCCTTCCAAGTCAACACCGCCCAGGGGGCACTATTTTATATCAATGAGGACCTTGGTGTCGGCACAGCCTGCACGGTCAGGTGAGGAGCACTTAGTCGAGTAAATTTGGTGGGAAGTTGCTTCTCACGAAAGCGAAAGGAATAGGTCAGCACTTTCCTTAGATGTTATTTCGTGTTTAGACAAACTGACATAGTTTTAGGGCAGGAGAAAGAAAGAACTCTGAAAAGGCGGGAGAACTGGAGGTGGGTTCAGAAAGAGACTGCGGACGGGAAATTAGGATAAAAGAGACAAGACGGACGAACGCTTGGACTGAAGACAAAAACGCAAATTAAGAAAATGATAGAAGATGGAAAAATAGTCTGCTCTTAATCAGACGGTGACGGAAATCATGGGAAAGCCGAAAGTATTGGTTTGGTTTGGTTTACGGCATATCAACCTCAATGGGTTATTGAATGCAGACGAGATTTTTATTCCTGGTAATACTTTTTTTTTCAAAAATGTATTGCTGGTAATATTTTTTATTTCAAAAATCTATTTCTGGTAATATTTTTTCTACAAAATCACTGGTAATATGTTTTCATTTTTTTTTTAATGCATAGTTTGGTTTGGTTTGTTTTGTTTCACGACAATGGGTTATTTAATGCCGACAATATTTTTATTGCTGGTAATTTTTTTTTCAAAAATGTATTGCTGGTAATATTTTTTACTTCAAAAATCTATTTCTGGTAATATTTTTTCTACAAAAATATATCACTGGTAATATGTTTTCATTTTTTTTTTTTTTAAATACATAGTTTGGTTTGGTTTGTTTTGTTTTACGGCAATGGGTTATTTAATGCCGACAATATTTTTTATTGCTGGTAATTTTTTTTTTTCAAAAATATATTGCTGGTAATAATTTCTATAAAAATTTATTGCTAATATTAAAACCTATTTTTAAGCTTTCATAGTGTTTTGACCCCAGTTTGGGGGAGGGTAAATATTTTCCCAGAGCTGAGACCCTAACAGGTCCTACCGCCCCTGGTCAAGGTGGACCTGGAGAACACCAGCAATTAAGAGGTGGTTCCACGCTCCTCAAAACCTCCTGATCAGAGGCCTTGCTGTTGGACGTAGTTTATTGTCTTACCCAAGACGTGGATATAGTTTATCATTATACCCAGGACGTGTTAATAGGAATAAAACTTCGCAGATACACAAGCGATAGAAACAGATAATAGTCCGGTGGATATAAACACTTTCCTCATAATATCACGAGCGAAAGAGAATGCTAAACGCCTATATCATATCTATGATGGAAGTGAATACTGGATCTTTTCCTTAGAAATAAAGGAGACATTTAAGTTAACAGAGATATGGCTCTACAGAAGGATACTGAGAATACCATTGTCGGAATACATGAGCAACCAGGAGAACTCAAGGAAAATTGAAACGAAAAGGATACTTACACTTTGAATCAGAAAGAGGCAGGATTACGGCCACATCGCGGTGAAACTGGGGTTCCCGTACGATCAACGAAGTTAAGCAACGTCGAAACCTGGTTAGTACCTAGATGGGTGACCTCTCGAGAATGACACGTGCTGGTAGTGTAATAGATAATGGATCAGAATTGTTAATCGAAGAGCTGAGTTCCAATTCCAATTGGTTTCGTTGTATTGATTTAGGCATAAATGACCTTTGGGAAAAGTACGAATCAACCTCTTCCCTCCCCTCAACTATAGGTTAAAGTATGACTAAACTATTATTATCCAAAGAAGAAAAATCTTACAATCTAGAAATATTTTCTGGCATTAAATAATCTGTAACGGGTTGATAAGCCGTAGAAAACGAATCAATCAATAGCCCTTTCCTTATAAGGAAATATTAGGTCGTTTCCTTATAAAGAAATATTCGGCAGTGTCCAAAAATAAAATAAAAAGACGAACAAATTTTAGTTAAAAACGTAAAAGCGGTTTCCATTAATTGTGGCCATTAATTATGACCATTAATTATGGCCATTAATTATGACCATTAATTATGACGAAACTATTATGATTTTATTGTTTATTGATTCTTATTGTTATATTATTGTTATATGATTTTATTGTTATAACCAAACTGCTATGATTTAATTCTTATAATAAAGTTTTGAACATTGATATAAGTCAATCTTTAATTTATGTCGGAATTTTCTAGATGAAGATATGCATTTAAGTGCTGTTAATGATCGAGAATTTAAAACTACATTGGTTTAATATTTTTCTTTGAAAAAGAAAGAAAAAAAAACATATTTTTAAATATGAAAGAATTATTAGTCAAGTGGTAAAAATACAACAGCAGTTGCTGGAACTCCAGAAACAGCAACAAAATTTGATTGAAATAATACGGAAGAAAACGGACAATCCCTCAAGTTATTTCGCTCCCGACGCAGTGGCAATGCTTATTTTAGAAAATATGAGCAAATTTTCCTAGAAGAATTCAGCGACTGGGAAGACAAGAAAAAAATACAAGAGTTTTATTTAGAAAGTTAACACCGGAAGAACATGAAAATACTCTAATTGACTATCAAAAAAGAAACAAATTTGCTTTGAAGAAACAGTAAATACCCTGACTAAAATTTTTAGCGATAAATGTTCGTTATTCAATACTCGCTGAAAGTGGATGAATTTGACGAAAAAAGCTTTTTGTCACATATGCTGGAATCGTTAACACGGAGTGTGAAAGATTCAAATTAAACGAACTGACTCTGTAGATGTTTAAAGGGTTAATTTTCGTTCAAGGGTTCAAGGCAGAAATACGTTCTAGAATTCTAACGAAACGTGAACAGAATTAAAAAAACAAAAAAAAAACAAAAAAAAAAAAACAAAACAAAATAACCCTACAAGAAATATCTAATGAATATCAGAGAATCCTAAATTTGAGATGAAATATGGAAGAAATTGAAGAAAAAGAAAAATGTGGTAAAAGAAAAATTAATCCATGTTTCAGATGTCAAAGGTTACATCTCGGAAAAGACTGTCCTTTTAAGAATTCAAAGTGCTACAAGTGTAGGAAAATAGGACATGAAAGTGTGGAGAAGTGACACTGTAAAATTAAAGCAAGGAAACGTTTTCACAGTAAAAAAATTTCGCACACAGCATTGCTACGGAAAAAAATAATTACATGATGGAATTACCTTTTCTGCTTATTTTAGAAGATTTTCAGAGAAGAATGAAGCAACTGGGAAGACGAAAGAAAAAACAAAAAAAAAAACTAGACTTTTGTTGAGAAAGTTAGCATCAGTAGAATATGAAAATTACTGTAATTTTGTACTACTGAAAAATAAAAAAACACAGGATAAATTTGCATTGAAGAAACAGCAAATATTCTGACCAAATTTTTTAGCAAGAAAAGTTCATTATTCAATACTAGTTGGAAGTGTATGAAGCTGACGAAAAAAGATGTTGTCCCATATGCTGGAATCATTAACAAGGAGCGTGAAAGATTCAAATTAAACGAACTGACTTCGGATATGTTTAAAGGGTTAATTTTCGTTCAACGGTTAACGACGAAAAAAGACGCAGAAATACATACTAGGATTCTAACGAATCTTGAACAGAATCAAAAAACAAAAATACTACAAGAAATATCGGACGAATGACAGAGAATCATAAATTTGAAACGCGATACGGAAGAAATTGAAGAAAAAGAATGCATACAAGCTAAAGAAAAATGTAGAAAAAGAAAAATTAATCCATGTTTCAGATGTCGAAGGTTACATCTCGGAAACGACTGTCCCTTTAAGAATTCACAGTGCTACAAGTGTAGGAAAATAGGACATAAAAAGTAACACTGTAAAACTAAATCAAGGAAACGTTCTCACAGAAAAATATTCGTACACAGCGTTTCGACAGAAAAATAATTAAAGAAACCAAAGAAAATTTGTGTATGTGAAAATTAATAATGTGGATGTAAAAATTCAACTAGACACTGTTAGTGATATTACAATAATCAACGAAGCCACATGAAAAGCAAACGGAAAACCTATATTAAAAAGAACTTCGAAAATAGCACGTGTCGGTTAAGAAATTATTTTTTACTTGTGAAAAGATTTGTAACGTTTCATTTCGTAACAAGTGTATAAAAGCTACAAACTTATTCGGTGCTGACTGAATGGAATTATTTGAGTTATGGAATTTACCTATAAATATTTATTGCAAAAATATAAATGGACAAGCGACTAGTTTACAAAAAAAGAAAAAAAACAGTGTGAAAATTTAAACGAAGAATTGAAAAAAAAAACAGTTTTCCAGATGTCTTGTCGAATGAGTTGGGTCGTTGTTCCAAAATCAAAGTGAAATTTCTTGTGAAAAATGTCGATGCCGTGTTTAAACTGAAACATAGTGTAACGTTCGCATCATTGGGTCAAATCAACGAAGAATTAGTCAGACTTGAAAAAATAGGTATTGTATCAGCAGTTTATTATTAAAAAAAAAAATTAATAAAATTCATGTTTGTGCTGATTTTTCGACAGAGTTAAACAAATCTTTAGAATCCCATAGCTACCCATTACCAAATCCAGAAGAAATTTTTGCGAATTTAAAGGGTGGAAAAAAAATTTTTCGGAGCTGGATCTTTCTGAAGCGTATTTGTAAATACAGGTTAAAGAATGATGTTCAGAGTTAATGACTATAAATACGCACAAGGGATTGTATAAGTTTAACCAAACTCCCTTTTGGGATAAAAGTGGCTCCAGCTAGATTTCAATAAACTATGATTGCTATGCATGCAGATTGTGATTTTACAGTTGCTTCTCTGGATAATATATTAATTAAAAGTGTATCTAAGGAACAGCATATCGGACATGTGAAAAGAGTTTATGAAAAAATGAGAATACTGGTTCAAACTCAGTGAGGAAAAGTGCAAATTGTTTTTGCCTAAAATCAAGTGCCTAGGACAAATCATTGACAAAAGTGTTCGTCAATCAGATCCATCGAAGGCAAGTACAATTAAAAATAAGCTTCCTCCAACAAACTTTACTAGGTTACAAGTATTTCTCTGACTAACAAATTATTATCAAATCTATATACCTAATATATAGAGAGATTCACTGAAAAATTAGCTTATAAAAGGCGTGAAGGGGAACTGGACTGATAAGTATCTGAAGGCGTTTGAAGAAATCGAGTAAACGTCAGACTTATCATTAGCGTACTACGATCCAAAAGCAGAAATCGTATTTGCTTCAGATGCAAGTGATTATGGTATAGGAGCGGTAATTCTACATAAATATGATGACGGTAACACCGTCACACATGCTTTGCGTTAACTACTACCGGCAGAAAAAGTACAGCCAGATGGAAAAAGAGGCGTTAGTAATAATATTTACAGTGAAAAATCCAATTTGTACACGGAAGAAGTTTTCGTTTACAGACATACCACCGTCCTCTTTTATCAATTTATGGTTCCAAAATAAGGACTTCCTACGCATACAGGGGTAACATCTTATTAAATTACGATTTCAAGATGGAATATCAACCGATCATAAAATTAGGACATGCTGATGGTTTATCAAGACTGATACCAAAAAATACCGAACGATTTGAGGACACTGTTGTTGCAGCATTAAAATGTGAAATACAAATTAAAATATATTATGCAATGTAGCACGTGAACTACAAGTTACTCTGGAAGAAATAAAAGTAAAAGCAGAACAAGACATGATTATTTCGAGAAAAAAAAAAAAAAAAAAAACGACTAAAAGAAAGTAAGAAAGATAGACGATTGTTAGAACGCAATCCAGACTCGCTATGTGACAGTGCACTGATGTTTGAACAAAGAGTAATTATATCTATCATATTACAAAAGCGAATATTAAATGAATTTCATAGTGGACATCCGGGAATTTCAAGGATGAAATCTCTTATGAGAAGTTATGTATACTGGACCAAAATGAATCAAGAGATTGAAAAATTATTAAAAGCCTGCAGAGGTTTTACTCTAGCAGCAAAATCACCAACTACAAAATTACAACCTTGGTCAAAGACGGATATTCCGTAGTCAAGATTACACATAGATTTCGCAGGTCCAATAAACGGGTCACATTATCTTCTGGTAGTGGCTAGTTTTACCAAGTGGTCTAAAATTTGTCAATGCAAAAATGAACTTCCACGGTTAGGGTGATTTTTTTATATGCACTCTTTGCACGACATGCCATTCTGGATGTCATATTCTCACACCATAATCCACTGCTTACGGATTTAAAGAATTTTATAAATTGAACATATTACTAACCTGATGTATCCCTTAAGGTCAAACGGATAAGTTGAACGGTTTGTAGGTACTTTTAAGAGAGCTTGTAAAAAAACAAGTAATGAGAAAGTGAACGAAGAAGCAAAAATACTTGAGAGTATACTGGATAACACCGAATCCCAATACACCGGTAGGCATGTCACCAGCAGAACTGATGTTCGCAAGAAAGATTAAACCGGAGTTCGACAAGTTGTTACTGTTGCAGTTTTTTTTTGGATATATGTACTAATGAGCCAGTCAAAATGACTTGACTCATTTTATAGTCCACCAAGAGAAGTGTTAACCAATCAGAAGACGTAGAATATTCAATCCGTCG